ACACACACACACACACACACACACACACACACACACACACACACACACGTGTTAGCTTGGTGCATGCTGGGGTTGTCCACTCACTTTCTGTTAATCTTTACTCTCAGATTCCAGGTCTTTGTTGTGCTGGGTATTCACTATTTCTTGGCTCTGTATTTTTAGATGTCATTTCTCTCTTTAGCTGTGTCTAATTTCCAATTCAAGGCAATCCCATTTCTACTTTACAATATTCTGGAATCTTTCCTTGAACTTTTCTTCAAATTTTCATATTTGATAACCCCTTGTTCTTTCTTTACGTTTTCTGATTTATATCTAGCATTTAAAATATATGATTGTATGATTTTGTTTGATGACTTTGACATATATGCTTCTAGGGCTCTGATCATAAAATTAACTGATCCTGTTATTTCTCCCTGATAGTAGCACATTTTCCTGTTTGGTGAATTTTGATTGCTAAATTATGTTTGTTGAGAGCTTATTTTGGGGAGTGTTTGAGTTCTTGACTTACATTTTGTAGATGGGAGTTACTTTTGCATCTGCTGCACGAATTATGATCTGATCTCATTTGACAATTTGAACAAAAATTCTTACTATTTTTCTTTGCTCATACAGGCAGCATAGATTCAGAGTATTGAATTTAATAGGGAGCACTATCTCATCTCTCTTCCTCTCTTTGCTACTCCCCCCCCTCCACTCTCCTGTTCTGTCCTGTCTTCTCTCCCCTTCCTCCTCCATCTCTTCTTCTTCCCTCCCCCACTGCTGACAATTTGGCATTTGAGATCTAGTAATAACGTATGCTAAAAACAAAAGCACATGTTCAAAACCAAAGATTGCTTATTTATTTATCTTTCTGTGCAAAAGTTCTTCACTAAGGGCAAAGTGAGGCAACACTGGGCTTTGTGATGACCTCAAGTGGTTGTGACCAGCTCAGCCTTTTTGGAAGAAAACTTCTAAGAATATGTATTGTTCATGTCCTGCACCCTGTTCCTTTCCCAGGAAAACCATGATCAATATGGTCAGAGTAAAATGTAGCTGTCAAAGGGTTCTGCGAAGGCTATTAGCTGGCATTTTGAGCAGAAACAGGCAGCTGGCTTTTTGCTTCTCCATTTGCTTGTTGCCTTGCTATCAGTGGAATTATTAGCACTGAAGCCTAAGGCAGAGGTCATTAATTCCTTTGTCTAGATCAATGATAGACCCCGGGGAACTGAAAACAGACACGAGAATTCAGACCTGCCCAAGACAACTCAGGAGAGAGATGGAGTCCTAGCATTAGTATGAGCTGAACCCTCTTCTAAGGTAGCTGAAGAGACATTCCTCAAGAAATCTGGCATCACATTTGACTGGAAGACATAACATGTGTGTGCTTTTTGGACAGACTGAAGCATGTCATTCAGAACCGGTTTTGACCAGTACCACAGAGCTTCTGTAAGGCCATGCCTTCTGGTTATGGTCAAGAGGACTCTGACCAAGCTGGACACATCAGTGTGCTTTCTCCCCATGATCTCAGAGGCTTCATGGATGAGGGATTGAGACCAATCACAAGAGTGTGGAGCAAACTGCTACATACTTAATCCCTCTGTTTCCTAAGCCTTTGTGAAGAAAACTATTGCTGATCAAAGAACTTATAATCAAATCGCCAAAGCTCGTTGGAAATTTATAGCTTGCTAAATTTTTAAGGGCTCTCTCTCTCTCTTTTCCTATAATTCTCTTTTATTACTTCTCTCTTCTTTTGTTTGTTCTTCCTTTCTGCAATTAGGATGTAAAGTAAACAAATAAGTTAATTTTAAAATTGAGCTGGGCTTTTTATGTAGTTGGGGTTGGCCTTGAACTTGTGATCCTCCTGTCTCTGCTCCTGAGCATTGGGATTTCAGGTATGTGCCATCACGTCCAGATTATCAAGTGTCTTTCACTATGGCTAGGAAATGATCCCTTGACATGGAATAGATGGGATATAGTCAACTTTATTCCTTTGAGTATTTGCTCTTCATGCATCTATTTGAGATGTGAATATGGGTTAGAGAAACGAAATGATCTAATCCTACTTCTCAAACACCACAGATCTTAAATGCACTTGGACTCAGCAGGTCTAGAATTCTATTTAACCTTGACAGTGTTTGCCCAGCCCTGAATTCTGCATTTCTAACAGTGTGCCACGTGATGTGGGACCAGCTAGTCCGTGGGTGCTAGAGTGGGAATCTCTGGGCCGTGTCTCTGCCTTGAGAAGCACATAATAAAATTCTTACTGATAATCACCCTTCACAGTGAGGATCCCCAAATTCAGATCTTTGCAATATATAACTCTGTTAAGACCACTTGGTGAGTGGAGCGATCTCTCAGTGGCAAAGGGAAGTCTTTTTTTTTTTTTTTTTTTCCTTCGAGACAGGGTTTCTCTGTGTAGACTTGGCTATCCGGGACTCACTTTGTAGACCAGGCAGGTCTTGAACTCACAGAGACCAGCCTACCACTGCCTCCCTGAGTGCTGGGATTACAGGTGTGCACCACAGCGCCTGGCTGCAAAGGGAAGTCTTAACTATCGAATGTCTGAGTCAAACAGGCTCGTGTTGATGGAGTTGGAGGCGGATGGCCGAGTCAGAGAGTTGAGTGGTGGCCATGTGACGGCTGTTCTGATGAATACAGGTAGGTTTGCTGATGACTTCCATGTTAAGGTGTGAGGAGAAAGGGGAGACAAACCAAACACCAAAGACTTTGGCCTAATCAACTGGTTGAGGGGCGTTCCTACACCCAGAGCAGAGGCACGTGTGGGAAGAGTCGTCATGGGTGGGAGGGTTGGCCAAACAAACTCAGAAAAGCTTGTGTGTTTGTCAATTTCATGGTGCCTGTTCTGAAGTCAGAGGCTAGGGCAGAGCATGAAGTCCAGAAGGCCTTGTCTAAAGCCATAGAAAATCTACATACTAAAAACAAACAAACAAACAAACAAACAAACAAACAAAAAACCAACAGGTCACCAAGAGGAAGGCTGGGCAAACACTGCCAAAGCTAAATAGAACTGGCCACTGGCGCAGGCACACTGTCTCCAGTCTGTTCTGCCCTGCACGAAATTTCCACTGCTCACCTGATTCAGGAACCTCAGGTGTGGTACAAAGTAAGGTCAGGTTTTCAGACCTAATCTGGGTCAGTGGAGGAAACACTCATTCACAAAATGGTTGTACACAACTCCCAAGCCCGTTAATAGCCAGGCCTGCAGGTCTGAGGGCACAAGGTGTAGGGAAACTGAGTCAGAGCACTGGAACTGCCTGGAAAAGACACCCATTTTCCATCTGGAATGCTAAACTCTTGCCCATGTCATATTCCAGGGTGAGGAGGGATGAGAGGAGGGTGAAGGCAATGGAAATAGCCACTTGCCGCCCGGGCAGTGTGCTCAGGTCTCTGCAGGGCAGTGCCCCACTCACCACTGTTGCTGCGTGCCCTGAGGTCAGATCCTTCTCCTGGCCCATCAGCCTCTTCCGGGACCTCTACAAGCTCCGAAGTCTTGGAGGAGAGAGAAAACAGCACAGAATAAATCAGTGAGCCACGCTGCATCACAGGCCAGCTGAGCAGACCTTAATGTCAGTACTGGATCAAGAGAGAGATTTGCACTATTCCTAATTGTCTGAGAAAGTGCCAAACTGATTTCTGGTGGGAACTAGAAAAGATCATCCTGAGTGAGGTATCCCAGAAGCAGAAAGACACACATGGTATATACTCACTTGCAAGTAGATATTAAACATATATCATACTAAAATCTGTACACCTAAAGAAGCTAAGCCAGAAGGAGGACCCTGGATAAGATGATCAATCCTCATTCAGAAAGGCAAATGGGATGGACATCGGAAGAGGGAGAAAATAGGGAACAGGGCAGAAGCCTACCACAGAGGGCCTCTGAAAGGCTCTACCCAGCAGGATATTAAAGCAGATGCTGAGACTCATAGCCAAACTTTGGGCAGAGTGCAGGGAACCATATGAAAGAAGGGGGAGATAGAAAGACCTACAGGGGACAGGAGCTCTACAAGGAGAGCAACAGATCCAAAAAATCTGGGCGCAGGGGTCTTTTCTGAGACTGATACTCCAACCAAGCACCATTCTTGGAGATAACCTAGAAGCCCTGCTTCTAGATGTAGCCAATGGCAGCTCAGTCTCTGAGTGAGTTCCCTAGCAAGTGGAACAGGGATTGTCTCTGACATGAACTCAGTGGCTGGCTCTTTGATTACCTCTCCCTGAGGGGGGAGCAGACTTACCAGGCCACAGAGGAAGACAATGCAGACAGTCCTGATAAGACCTGATAAGCTAGAGTCAGATGGGAGGAGGTCCTCCCCTATCAGTGGACTGGGGAAAGGGCATGGGGGAGAAGAGGGAGGGAGGATGTGGCTCCGAGGGGATGCGGGAGGGGGGCTTCAGCTGGGATACAAAGTGAATAAATTGTAATAAATAAAGAAATTAAAAAAGGGGCTGGAGAGATGCCTCAGCAGTTAAAAGCACTGGTTGCTCTTCCAGAGATCCTGAGTTCAATTCCCAGCAACCACATAGTGACTCACAACCATCTATCATGAGATCTGGTGCCCTCTTCTGGCATGCAGGTGTACATGCAGACAGAACATTGTATACATAATAAATAAATCTTTAAAAAAAATTTAAAAAGAGAGATTTGCCCATCCAGACATGTTAGAGAATTGAAAATGATGTCAATTACCGAGGTTCTGGGGGGTGAGTCGGAACCACTGCCCGAGCTGCCCTTCTTTGTTCTCTGGGCCAGGGAAGTGCCGAATCGGAGGGCCTCATACACCGGGTCCACCTTATTGCCACAAGCTGCAAAAGAAGAAAAGACCCATCTCAGCCCAGCTGCTGAAATCCAGATCTCTGCCAAAGAGCTTCAGGAACCTGACTAAAGGACTGTGGGTTTACTCTTTCCTAATGGATGAGGGTTCACATCAAACACCTTTGCTCTCTCATGGAACTCCACCTACTGGCTTATCATTTCTAGTTTAAAATCCATCCGACTGAAAAGACCGTAGGCATAGAGGCTTGCAGGTACAGAAAACAAAACAAAACAAATAAAAGCAACCAAAACAATGAATAGATGCCAACTAGAAGCGATCACTGGCCCCATCTTACAGAGTATGGCAGAAGGTTCAATGACACAGTTGATTAGTGGGGAGCTGGCTCTGCACCAGGGCTACACCTCACACTGCTGGTTGAGGGGGTATGTTGCTTTGATGCTGAGAGAGTTGGGCAAGTGTGGTGTCTGCTTCTGAGACTTGGCTGTTTTCAAACCCCACCTGGGAGATGATGAAAAAGGCATTTCCTCTCCAGCAAAATGAGTAGGGCTAAATCATCCACCACACAGGTGTCTAAGGCTGTCTCACTGGCTTTGTAGCCCGCAGAGGTCACCATCACCATTGACTTCACTGCTAAAATCCCACCTCAGGGCTTCACTGTCCCCACTCACCAATGGGCATAACTTCCTTAATGCATCCAAACTGTTCGTGGATGAGCAAGGGGGAGCTGTAGTAACGCCGAAATCCCTTTGGCTGGAGAGAGGGTGAAAAAGAGAAGGGGCTTAAGATCAGTGAATAGATGGAGAAAACCACACAAGAGTCTGGAAAAGAAAGCCAGCTGTTGCCTTCCATTTAATGTACTGGCAGAGCTTATTAACTTTATAATTTACCGCCAATAGGGGGAAGGGAAGAGAGGACTATATGGAGGCGAGCAAGGTAGTTCCATCTAGAAGGCACGCTCCCAGACCTCTGGTCCTTGATTCTTGTACTGTGTCATATACCCTCACTATATGCAGGAACCCCTCACCCCCAGGACACACCTAACTGTTTTCTGCCACAGCTTACTGTGGGTGCTTCAAATTATAAAAGGCCTACATGGGGGAAGGTGGATGTCAGGGCTTGCCTAAGGCCCTTGCACATTTTCAGAGTGTCACCCAGAAGGATCAATTTTGCTCTTTTAATTCTGTTGTGTTTCTGACCTCTTACATGTGGTCTTTTCCCTTGGCTTGGGGGAACTAATCTTAGAAAGACAGAGGGAACAGATGTGACAGGAGTTTAAGACACTGCAAGCCAGTCACTGGGTACACTTTCTAAGAACCTAGACTTGCCAGACTCTAGGGTTGGAAGGTATCTGGGTGATCTGGACCCTACAAGCATCCATGAATCCTCATACATGTTCTTGCAAGTGGTGCCTATTTTTGTCAAGCACTGCCCGAGATGCGTGTTGGGGATAGAAGTGGCTCCCAACCCTGAAGGCAGGTCTTTGGTGACATTGTATCTGGTGTTAAGATACTGTACTTATTATGAACTTTTCCTTAAAGTTAGAAAAGTCAACAGAATTCCTTTCCTGGGCTGGGCTTAACAGTTTCTGAAGACTGTTGCTTCTTCTCTAAAGTAGACATTCTTGGGTTTAATACTTCGGTCGCTCTAGTTTTATTGGCCTCGAATGTATTCTGGGATGCACCGGGGCAGAAGCTCACACCCCTGAGATGGTCGGAGCAGAACTTGCCCAGACTGTGAGGTCTGAGTGGCAGGCTGGTGTTTCTGAGGATGCTTCAGAACTCCTGATAAGGGTTCATAGGCTGTGGCTTCCCTGGGACAGACACCTAGGGACTCTCGGCTCCACCTGGCACCAGCCCTTACCAGCTTGCCCATGCACCGCTGGGGTGCCAGCCCGTCTGCACACTTGTGATGGATGCTCATCTTGCAGGCTCCACAGCGTAGTCCATGCTTAGCATGTGTTCCTGTCAGGCACACAGCACACTTTGGTTAGGTACAGCTTGCCCTTTCCTGTGGTCTGGTCTGAAATCACTGGAAGAAGGTGATACTTCTAGACAGTTAATTCTTCTCTGAGATTTCATGAAACTTGAAAAATGGAAAAATTGCAATATAATGTATGATTTCCGTCAACCCACATTTTCTACTTAAGGTATCCACTCTGGTTTCTCCCTTTTTGTTTTCTCCTTTGTGTTCATATTAGCAAATTTGAGCCGCCCCTGTTTTTTTCTGTCCTAATTCAAGGTAGCAAACTCTGTGTTCTTTACTGTTCATGGAGGTCGTCCATCGCTTTCGATCCTTCCTGAGTCATGTTGGTCCTAACATCTGACCTGTTCTCACCTGCTCACCACAATGGGGAAATGTGGTGTGAGCTGAGGGAAGCCTGCAATCCCTCATGCTCGTGAGGTATTAGCCATGCGACTTCCTTTCAGTTCTCTGGATGTGTAAGCTCTTTAGTCCCTCCAGCCCCTGCACATGCTGCTTTATATATCTAGGATGCTGATCCGTCACTCTACTTGGCTACTGACCCCTTCATGCTTTGTCTCTGTCATTTGTACCAAGCATTTCCCTTCCTCTGTCCAAATAGTCTTCTTTTCTTCCTCTCTTCCTTATATATATCTGTCATCCCCTCTCTTGCTCTTTCTGTCCTCCCTTTCCTTCTTTCACTGTCCTCTCTTTTCTTCTTTCACTGTCCTCCCCTCCCATCCTCGTCTCCCTATTCCGTCTTCTCCCCTTTTACCTCCATCCCATTATTCTCATTATCTTCTTTCTCTTCATTCCAACTCTTCCACCCTCTCCTTTTTTCATCGTCCCCTCTCCTTCTTCTTCATGCTGAAGATGAAACCTGGTTTCTCACACATGTTAGGTATGCGCTCAGCCACTGAGCTGCAGCCCAGACCCCAAGGTTCCTTGGCACAGCACCCTGTGATTATCTTTTATAACACTTATCATAACTAGTAACAAGTATTTACTTGGAAGCTTGACTTTGTCTTCCATTCCCTCTGGATGTTGTGCTCAGTGAGACCAAGGACAGTGTTTGTTGGTGTGCTGCTGCACACAATAAACAAAATAAACCAGTGAATAGATTCCTTCCTAGTCACTGCATGTAGGGAAGTGACAATGGCTGATCTGACGTACTTGGTGGGAGCAGAGTCTTCAATACTGTAGCAGTGTTCAGTAGCTAAAAGTGGATATGAAGTTCTAGCTGCTTTGTCTAATTCTAAAAATGAAAAGTCAGAGGGCGTAAGGGAGAAGAATTTGTACCAAGGTAATAGAGGTCACGCCTTTTTTTCATTCTTTCATAGCTTGGCTCTAATCTCCTCCCCCATTTTTACAGGATTGCTTAATGTATGTGGAGATGAAGTTGGGATTAATGAGATCATACAACAAAGAAATGCAAGGATCCACAGTTCATCTAAGAAAAGCAATGGGCAAGGCCCTGAACAGGCAAAGAACTAGAATTGGTGTCACCTGGAAAGTCCCTTCTGGAAGCACTATTTAACAGGGAACCTGTTGCTGGTATACCTGAAGACAGAAAGCTGTTCTCTTTCTCTTTCTCTCTCTCTCTCTCTCTCTCTCTCTCTCTCTCTCCTCTCTCTCCCTTTTCTTTTATCCTTCTCTCCCTCCCTCTCCCACCCCTCTCTCTCTCACACACACACACACCATGAAGGCATGTTACTATTTGTTCACAGTGGTAGAAAAGCCCCCTTTGTTTCTGAGAACAATCACTCAGGTGAAGCATACTATTCTTTCAAAGCCTGTCCTTGGAAAGCAATGACTTCATTTCAATTCAGGGCCTGCTATTTGTGCCTGTGTAGGAAGGTAAGTAAGATCTTCAAAGGGAAGTTGTTCCACTGTGAGCTAGCCTCTGAAATAGTGTCATTATAAATGATGGCATATTTTCCTTCATCTATACATTTCCTTTCCCTGACTTCGATTTTCTGACCTGCTTTCATAGTTTACTTCTTGGTATGAGTCAGGCCACCAGCAGTTACTCAGTGTTAGCTGTTCCCATTTCCTCTGCAATGACAAGCTTGATTGAAGGGAGAAAGCGTCTACCCTGAACCCCAGAGAACAGGGAAAGTGTGACTTGGATCACTGCAGTGGCCCTGGTTTATCCTAGAAAGATTTGGAGAAGGCCTGCTCTGACCTTGCTCTGTTACTCCTGCCTTCCATCACCAATGCCTTGCTGTATGTTCCCCTTATGCCCGACTAGAGAGAAAAACCTAGTTTTGAATTTTAATATGTCCACACTGGCTCTTCAAATGTAAAAATGCAACCAACATCTCTGTTCCCTTAACTGCCTTCGTCACCAGAGGAGAACAGTGTCAGAAAGAGATGTCCTTTGACCTATGAAAAAGTCATGTCCTAATCAGATAATCATAAATTGAATATTCTGTGAATCAGAAGTGCACTGGAAAGGGGCTAGAGGTAGAGCTAAGTTGGTCCAGGGCTTGCCTTGTAAGCAAGAGCACCCGTGTTCAACTCCCAGAATCCACACAAAACAAAAATGTTAGGTGTGATGGTGCCTGTGTGGAATCCCAGTACTGGCAAGGAGACAGGAGACTCTGTGGGTTCCCTAGTCACCTACGCCAGCCTAATTGGTGTATTTTAGGCTAGGAAGCCATCCCGTCTCAAAAGAAGGCAGATCCGGTCTGAGAAGCCCTCTGGCCTCCATAGGCGTGTGCACACATTTACACACTTCTGCATACTCACAAGGATGCACACATGCACAAACACATAGTACATAAAGTGCACTTACTATTCTCACTCCCCTACACACTGTAGCTTAGTTCAGTGTGCTGTACAGAACTGCTTGCTCCCCACGCTCCATGCCTAGGTCTTGAGGCTCACTGCTGCCCAGCTTCAGGAGAGAATGTTTTGCAGTTATATTGACAACTAGCCCCGGGATGTGATCAAAATCCGGAGTGCAGCTTTTACTGAATGTGTACAAATTTCTCACCAGAATGAGAATCCCCAAATTGAAGTGTTATAACAAGTCAGGATCCATGTATGTAAAGGGATTTCACAGGCAGATGAGGTAGCCCGGAGGGTGCAAAGGTACTTGCTATCCAGCATGACAACCTGAGGTTGAGCCTTGGAACTGCTAGAATGGGAGAACTGACTCCTGCAATTGTCCTTTGACCTCTGCATACAAGCAGGGGCACACAGACCCCCTAATACACTAAACAAATAAATGAAAATTTTTAAATGTAAAAATGAAAAGTTGCAAATGTAAAAATTTTTAAAAGAAGGGATTGAGTAAGTTTGAATTTTTACAAACAAAGATGTCCCTGGGTTTCAAATAAATGGTATTGGATTGGTACAATACACTTAGTCGTATCAAAGACCTAGTAAAACTATATTGTGGGAAATGAAAATCACTGATAGGAAGAGTAGAAGTGAGTTTAATATTTACTTGGAAGAGAGAAAGCTAATAAAAACATGATAAGCAGTTTAACAAATGACATGAACAGAAAATTTCACAATGGCAGTTTGGAAACCGGAAGGCCATAGGGCCTCAAAAAAAGTCAAATTGCAAAGTTCTGGCAGAAAATTATTTCCAATTTAGATATTTTTATTTTGCCAACCTATTATTTTTATACCTAGCTAAATTACCAAACATAATCGATGGCGGAATACAGATATTTTCCCAAACTTAGATATTTCTTCAAAATACTTTCTTTCCATGTGCTCATTCTTAAAAACAATTACAGTAGAATGTGCCTGAGAAAAATGAAAGAGTATGTTAAGAAATTAAAAAAAATTAGATGTAGTGTAGAAGAAACACAGGGGAGAAGTGGGGTCTACCATATAACGCTGCAGTAGCCCAGGATACAGCTGCAAGATAAAGTAAGGGGGTAAGCTGAAGAATAAAACAAGGAACATAGAGGTTTGCTGACTTTGAACTTTATAGCAGATAACAGCAGTTGAAGATCTGTGGAGTATTTATAAATTACAGAGGTACAAAAAGTTAAGGGGAGTGGAAAGGGCATTTTTTAATTTGAGGGAAAAATAAAATGTGTGTAAGGAAAGAAATGTAATCATAGTAAATAAAATATTTGAATTAGAAAATATCAGTGCTTAGTCATAGTGCCTAAACTGACCTTCAAACTTACACAAAATTGTGGCTTAACTTGTTGCAATAACGCTCTTTTGGAAAGGGCAGAACAAGGAAGGCAGGCAGGGTAGATCTGGTTGCCTGAGAAGGAAATCATCAAACGCTTCTTAACTGGTACAAACGGCAGGAGCACGCCCCTGAGAACCATGGGTCACAATGCAATGAGGGCGTGATGGAGGGTGAGTCTTCCAGAGTGAGTCTGGGAATAGCTGGTTTCCTCTCAGCACTTTTAGGACTTCCAGTACCTACATCTACTGTGTTAGAATGCTGTGCTATTATTGAAGCGTATTAGATATATGTTTTAAACAGTTGGCCAGACTGTTTTTCCTTTTGTGGAACTGGGGATGAAACATATGGCTTTGCATATGATTGACAAGGGCTCTACCACTAAGCTGTATCTCACCTCTTGTGTGTGTGTGTGTGTGTGTGTGTGTGTGTGTGCACATGCGTGCCTTTGTGTGTGTTTTCTTTCTTTCTTATTTTTTTTTTTTTGTTCTCTTTTGATACCAAGTCAGGCTGTTCTTGATCTAACTGTACATGGTTCTTCTGACTTTCCCTCCTGAGTTTTAAGGTTACAGGTGTGAGCGTCAACATTTAGATTGGCTAGATTGCTCTTGAAAGGATTTTGACATTAAGACATTGCTTAACTACCAAGAAAATTCAATATAATGTCAAAGTTGAAAATAAAAATAAGGGCTAGAAACCAAGGCTCTTAAATACAGAAATAATTTTGAGAATGAAGAAAAACCAGCTGTAAAAGAAAAGAAATGTAGCCATGCTACAGTATTTGAATTAGCAATGAACAATGGTTAAATGTTAATTTTTACAAATATTTAGATTGCTTCA